AATGGGTATTGAAGTCATTTCATTTTCCATTTTTTATTTTCCAATCATTAACCGGATAATGATATGAGTGATTATTTGTCAAGACTTAGCATGATATCAAAAATTATAGGTTAAGGCCTATGATACATGATATATTACGCCAGCTCAGGTGGCTTTTATCCGGCAAACCCGCACAAGTTTCAAAAATAATATTGGTTCCCGCCCAAATTATGCTTAGATATCATGGTTTTTGTGCAAATAGGTAATGTATGGTAGAGTACAAACACTAAAACTGTGCAACATAAACACCACTAAATACTGCTAAATTATGCTAATTCTATTGTTTTCTATTGTTTAATTAACACTATTTTGTAGTAAATAGTGGAAAGTGTTGCACACATTTAGTGTTTGTACTCTAATAGAGTGGTTTTCATTAACCCGTGAAACAAAGTGTAATAGTCAAAGTGTAATAAAGTGTAATACGCTAAAGTGTATTTCACGGGTTAATGAGAACCACTCTAGTATATGGCAAAGTCATTAGATCTGTTCAAAGCTAATTTCATCACGAAATATATTATTGTAGTTAAAAATTTCCCAACATGCTTTTGCGCAGAAAATGTAACGCCCCAATCTGTTGGTCTCCCTTTGTCAGAGCTCTGTCCGCTCTCTTGGCGTTGTTTTAATACTTAAAGAGATCTTCTTGAATTCATTAAAGTAAGTCATTGAAAACAGCAGGACCGTGAAAGCCAGTAACCATTCACTGAAAGAGCTTGCTAAATGACAGTCGAAACCCTATGTAAAGCAAGCAATAGATGAGTAGTTGTCGACATTTAAAGGATTTAAAGACTAACTATTTTTTTTAAAGACTATACTATACTCATAAACAAATCGCCATTTTGTAACCTCGTTTAGCATATTTCAATATTCGAGTTTGCCAAAATTACTTGGAACGACTACACCTAATTGAAAAAACGTAGTCGTGCTCGAAAGGGTCACATCATAGAAGCTAAGACCGAAAGGGATTTTGAGTACTACTAAATTGGGATTGCATTTGCATATACGGTGTACAGAAAGCAAGTAGACCTAGTAAGATTAACAGCATGATAGTCTTTTATGCTGGAGACCTGTTTGTTATGAAATTAGGCAAATTGTTTGTCTTCCCAAGTACCCTTTCGGTCTTAGCTTCTATGATTTGACCTTTTTGGACCCGACAACGTTTCTTCAATACTCCAGTTTCGAATTCAAAGCGAATAACCGCTGTTTTATTTGACAGCAGATTCTCTTACGCAAAGAACTTACCAAACACAAAAGAAAGCACGAGAAAATGTTGCTTGTACAATAGCGGTAACAATTTACATTTTCCCCGAGTTGAGGCTAACCCTGTATTCCCAGAAGGCTCATACCTTAAGTCTCATGGGAATACAGGGTTAGTCTCAACTCGGGGAAAATGCAAATTTTCAAGTCTATTGTAATAACGACATTTTCTCGTGCTCTCTTTTGTGTTTGTAAGGTCTTTGCGCAAGAGAATCTGTTGTCAAATAAAGCAGCGGTTTTGCGCTATGAATTCGAAACTGGAGTATT